CCTCAGCCCAGAAATGAGGCGGAAGAGAGGCGGAATCATCATCGCACGAGCTGTCTCAAGAAGGTGACGATGCTTGCGCTCAGCCACGCCATTCTGAGCGTGAGCGCCGGGACAAGAGAATTGAGCAAGAGTACCCTGCTCGGCAAGAAAACCACGCAACATTTTGGAGATATACTCGCCAGCAGAATCAGCACGAAACACGCGAATAGGTGTAGAGAACTGAGTGTGGACCATGGCGGCAAAACGCTTATAAATAGAGAGAACCTCGCTACGAGAAGACACGAAGTAAAGCCAAGTGTAGCAAGAGAAATCATCTATAAAAATAATATAGTAGCGATGGCCCCCTTTGGAAGAGAAGGGAGCCGGACCCCACACATCTGAATGTACTAAATCAAAAGGGCGCTGCGACACTGACTCGCTAGTAGGATAAGGTAACTGAACTTGTTTACCAAGCCTACAACCCTGGCATTGTAAGGAGACATCTCCTGAGACAGGCCCCAGAAGACCACGACGAACTAAAGACGATAGTCGAGAACCACAAAGGTGACCAAGTCGATGATGCCATTGCTGGAAGGAGCTGGTAGTTGAAGCGGCAAAGGCAGATGGACCGGCGAGTGTGGTGGTAGCGGAAGGAACATTAAGCCAGTCCAACTCCCAAAGCCCCTGAGAATCACGGCGACGCGGGCCAGCCCCAACCAGAGCCTTCGTGTGACGATCCTGGATAGTGCAAGAATCAACGTCAAGAATGACACGACAACCAGAATCAGTAAGCTGACCCGCAGAAAATAGGTTCATGGTAAGGCGAGGCACATGAGAAACATCTAGAACATAAAAGGAAGAAGTGGCAAGAGTGCCTCGACTCACAACAGGAAGAGGAGTACCATCAGCAGTAAGAACATTAATTGGAAAATCGGGAGATCTACGAGAGGACAAGATAGAAGAATCGGAGGACATATGAAATGAAGCTCCAGAATTCAGAACCCATGGGGATGTACCTGACTGTGTAGATAGTGGTCGCTCAGCACTAGAAGCACCAGTCACAGAGCCTGCAGTACCTGTCGAAGAACCTGAAGCAGCAAGTAGACGCTTGAGCTTCACAATATCTTGCTCAGTCAAGGAGAAAGTAGACGGCGTCGAGGAAGAAGCACGAGTCCCAGAAGAAGAATTGCACTCCCTATTACGCATATCACGCTTCTTCTTGAAGCAGTCAGACTCGGGGTGACCATCCCTGTTGCAGTAGTCACAATGAGTACGAGGACGAGAGCGGCCTTCACGAGAGCGGGCCTCACTACCCGGAGGAGTGGGCAGTAGCGGCGGAGCACTGGAGCGAGAAGACACTAGTGGAGTAGCACCTCGAGTAGAGAGCACAGAGGGAACCTGAAGCAAACCAGCACCACGGAGGCGAGTCTCCTCAGCACGAAGCTCAGAAAGCACCTCAGAAATAGGAACCCGGCCACGAGCAAACAACTGAGCACGTCGAGGCTCAAACTCCCCACGGAGCCGTGACAAGAACTCATAGACACGCTGAAACTCCAAGTCTGACCTCACAGTCTGGCAACACGGGCAAGTGCCACAAACAGTAGTGCGAAGGGAGTCAAGCTGGCGCCAGATAGCAGAACTCTGAGTGTAGAACTCATCAATAGTGGAGTCTCCCTGTTGAAGAGCATGCTCCTGACGGACCACAGACAAGTAGAGAGCATCACCAGAGGGCTGATAGCGCTGACGAAGATGAGTCCACATCTCAAAGACAGTACCGAGGCCTATAAACTCAAAAGCAAACTGAGGCAAAACACTGGAAGTGAGAACAGTCGCAGCACGAGCATCATCATCACACCACTGAGTGTAAGCAGCCAGATCGTCACGATAAACAGAAAGAGCATTTGAATAATCCAAGACCTCTTGGTCATAAGCGGCATCCGCATCATCAGCAGCAACCCTGGCTGCAGCCCTATCAGCATCAGAAGCATCTGCGTCAATAGCCGGTGGTGTCGGCGGTGGGGTAGGAGCCACAGGAGGCACTGGGCGCGGAGGACAGGGGACCTCACCGGAAAGAACACCCCAGAGACGAATGCCACGCATGTGAATGCGCATAAAAGCAACGAACTCAGCATAGTTAGCCCCCATCAAATATCACTGGGCAGCGCGGGATGGCAAAATAGCCAGATGACGCCATAGACACGCTGAAACAGCAGCAACCACTCACGTGACCACACGAGCGCCCTGCAGGCAGCTGCGGAAGACAGCAGCCTCGCGGACGGGGCCGGCGGCCGGTAGCAGCAGCGCAGATGGGGCGGCGACCGGTGGAGCCGAAGAAGACAACAGTGATGCAGACGAGGCCGGCGACCGGGCGGGGAAGGAGCGGTTGACCTCCGATAGCTACTGCCTCTGCTCGATCGAGAGATGAACTGACAGGCGGCTCGAGCAGGCTGCAGCGACGGGCCGGCCTGCAGCGACAAAGCCGCGATCTGGAGTTGAAGATGCCCGGACACGAAACAACAGCAGCAACGCACGCACGCGTGACCACTCGAGCACCTGCAGACGGCAGCAGCGGCGCCGACGAGGCCGGCGGCCGGCAGCTGTGGAAGGCAACAGCGCCGCTGACGAGGCCGGTGGTCGGCAGCCGCGGAGGAAGACAAACGGCCGGCGGCGACCTTGGAGGAAGACAAGCGGCCAGCGGCTCAATCGATCGGGACGAAATCCGATATAGAATCCAACACAGCGATGGATGAGCTAGCTAGCATGGACGTGAAGCGCCTGTAGCTGGAGATGGACATAGGCAAAAGCAAAATCACGGGCCAGCAGAATAGAGAGCAACGGCGGCCGTGGAGAAGATTGGACCGGAAGCAGCACGAGTTGCGCGTGCGGAAAAAAAAAACCTAGAGCTCTAATACCATGTTATGAAAGCAACTTATATTATTAGGAGGCCAATGCCAACATATATACACATACATGAGGATGCCAAAAGGCTACAAGAAGATGCCAAGAGACTAGAATGCAAAAGGCCAAAAGACATCACTTAATATAACTCTAACACATATCAGGTTGAAGAAACTGAATGCAGCCAAGGGAAATGTCAAGATCTCCGTGGGTAGGAAAACATAGGCCCGGTTTAAAAAAAGAAAACATCTAGGCCGGGATCCTGATTGTTATCCGGACAAATGTTGATGCCACCATAGTTCAGTGCTACAATTGCTAAATGCAATGTCGTAGAGACTGTTTCAAGTCCAATTACATATTCTTTAAACTCAGCCGTGTGTGCTTCGTTTGTGTAAGACAACAGTGAGTGTCCCAGGACACTCTACTTCGCAAAAGAATTGCCAAACAAAAAGAACTACACAAACTAAGATCAATGCGTACTTCTCTGAGAACTCGTTCAAAGGCGCAGATGACATGTTACTGATATTTACTCAAATGATCACAGTTATAAATCACATCCAGATGTCCACGGCAACGTACATTGCTGCTGTTACGCTGTAGCATTTGAAATTCCAAATTCTCAAGCTCGAATCATGTGCACCAGAGCTGCCGAAGCAAACTTCCCAGGTACAGATAGATAGGTAGCCAAGCAACATAGAAGAAGAATCTGCAGCCAAGAGACTGGAGCCAAGCTACTGGAATCTCCCATAACCCACTACGAAATTAAGACTACTCTTCCAACATAAACCAACCGTCACTTCTAAGATGAGAACGCACACGACACCTTTTTAACAGTGACCATAATTCTGACCAGCCTACTACACCTTTTTAACAGTGAACATAATTCTGACCAGCCTACTGGTTGCTACCTAGGCGTTGGTCGATAAAACTGGACACCAGTAAACTCTGGGAAGTAACCACAACGCTGGAGGCTCACTGAAGGTTTTATTGAATCAGGTGCATATTATGCAAAACACTAGACTAGACCGACTCCAACTTTTGAAATAGCCTAGCACAGTCCGTAGCAAAAAGTGACCCGTTTTAGACAATAGCGACATCAAGTTACGGAGTTTTGCCAATGGTTCTTTCCGCACCAACAAATACCATATATAGGATAATTATTAGGTCTTAGGGTAAGTTTGGTTTGAGCCCTGGGTTGACCCACCAAATATTTGACTAGCCAAATTTTGGTCAAGGTTTTGTGTGCCCATGAGCTGGGCAATATTAGCTTTAAAAATGAACTAGTGGTATGAAGCCATTGGCATGCCAAAAAGTTGTCAACCATCCAAACCATGACCAAAGTTTTGGTCACAGCCAAAAATTTCGGTAAGGTACATGTTGGCTACGAATCAAACATACCCTAAGTTCTAATTATCCAATCTTTCACATGACCGTTGTGTCGTCACCTTATTGCGTCGTCACCTTATTCATCATAAGTGTTCCATGCAGTTTCTTGTAAAACTACCCCAGCAACAGAACCATTGTGTTTCACATCCCCTTTTTTACCTGCACCAGAAAAATAGCACCATGTTTCAGTCCTAATTGCACTTGAAACTCTACCAACTGGTTCAGAGAGTGTGTTTAGAAGTTACAAGATGACATGAATGGTTTCGCTGTATGTAGGATCTACCTGCATGCATACTATGTTTATCAACTTTATTCATACTGATGTCTTCCCAAAGCAGCTATTTCGTTTGTCTCGAAGACCTCAGAGTGATGACTAACCTAAGAGCATCTCCAACGGCCGCACAAAAATTTCACGCCCAATAAAAGTTATAGCGCGGCACTGTAGCACTTTTAATGCGCCGGGACCAACATTGCTTTAGCAGACGCACAAAAACGCGCGCCCAAAAAGCACACAGTGCAAATTGTGAAGCGCGCGCAATCCGGAGCCCAAAATATGCTGCGCGCCATAGCGTTTTTCAGAGCGCGCCCAAAAACTTTTAGCGCTACAGCTTCTGCTGGAGCTGTTCCGCGACCAAAAAAATGATTTTTTAGTGCACGGAGCTCTTTTTGGGCGCCTGTTGGAGATGCTCTAACACTGTAAACAACGGTGTCATGCTCTAAATCAAGTTTCAGATGAGTCAATGTTTGGCTTTTAACTTGAAGAAAGTTTCATTTGTTTAAAATAGTGTATCAGATAAGACCTGTCAATCTGGGTAGGAAGAATTTACTTAATAAATACATGGGTAAAAGTTAGTGAAAAGGAATTATTCTGATTTGGGAGCCAAGAAGTGGAAGATCATACGGCAGGATGGCTGTCAGAGGTAGTGGTGGGGCTGACAGAACACGAGGATCGGAAGGCATCGATGTGAGCCTGGCACTTGACACAATCACCCTTGTTCTCCTGCAGGCACTTGCGCAGCGCCTCCACGTCGCACGCTGCAGCAGCCTTCTTCTCACCTTCCCCTCTGACACCACCACCGCTTGTTTTGTCCATCGCCGCCATAGCCGCCGCTACTCAACCTTGAAGCACGGGTCAAAAGGACCAGTCTGTACCCATCATGTGATAATCAAAAGGTAAGCACAATTATGTAAATGTGGAATGTACTTTTGGCATACTTAAGATTCAAGTTGCTCCACCTGAAACAAAGAAGTTGTCTTATTTCTTTTTCTAAGAGAGATTTCAGATCTCTTCAGTAACCAACGTGCATCTGCCCTTAAACTATGGTACCTGATGGAGCAAACAATCAGGAATGGTGTCCATTGAGATCATTGTCTGGAACAAACTCCAGCTACTATGCTTGTGAACCATCTTCAGAAACATTAACATCAACCATAAATCCGTAAATAATTTGTTTACCATTGCTTTGGGTATTTGCCGGCTACAAATTTGAAGAAAATACTTTCTCACGTTTAGTTTGCCCAAAAGACACGATCCTCCGAGAATATGTTAATTCTGTGTTTTATTGGTCCCTAAGCACCAGCACTACTACTCTCCAACTATTCAGCGTTCTATTATTTATCTTTAGCATGGTGAGGTACATAAGTGATCTTCATTGGATAAAGAAATTTCAGCTCGGAGACGTTTACTGTCCAGATGCCTGCTTACAACTACGAAATGTGTGCAAGTAAAAAAAATCATGGGAGCGCTATGCCCCGCCGCCCCTCACCGTCCTGGTGAGGCACAGCTCCCCACTCAACCCGCGCTACTCTAGCCCTAAGCCTCTAAACTGGTGGGATCCCTAGTCCCTTGGCGATGTGGGACTAAAAAGATCTCTGGTACAAGGCTCGTCGTGTTACCTGCGTGGAGACCCAGCTCCGCCGCGCGCAGGTCACCTCACGGCGCCGGAAGGACGGCGAATTCGCCTTCAACGCACCCGCACCTTCCTCCTCCTTGATCTCCGGTCGCCGCGGATGCTCTTACTCCCGCGTCTCCCCTGCGCCCGCAAACGCCGACCTCGAACGAGTTCACGGAGAGAGATATTTCGCTCGGCGTGGGGAAGAAGGAGGTCGACTGAGGTAGGCGGCTGCGGAGGAGGATTCGCCTTCAACGCACCCGCACCTTCCTCCTCCTTGATCTCCGGTCGCCGCGGATGCTCTTACTCCTGCGTCTCCCCCGCGCCCGCAAACGCCGACCTCGAACGAGTTCACGGAGAGAGATATTTCGCTCGGCGTGGGGAAGAAGGAGGTCGACTGAGGTATGCGGCTGCGGAGGAGGATTCCGGCCGGCGTGGGAGGAGGAGGCGATGCGATTCGGGGGTTTCTTTCCACTGCTCTCGGCGGTGCTCAAGATTTTTTTATTATTATTTTGAGACAACTCAAGATTTTGTTACACGGCACTACGGCAGCTACACTCGCTTGGGCTGGTTGGGTTCGGCTCGGAGGAGAATTCTGGCCCACTACTTCTACCGGACGCAAATGTACGCTCGCTTCACCGGGAAACCCTATTTGGCGCTGCAGGCGCCCGTTAGTAGTGTTTTTGCAAACGGGCGCCTGCAGCGCTCCTGCGGTGGGCCGGCCCATCTAGGTGTTTCTTCTTTGTATCTTAATTCTGCAAAAAGATGCGCCTGTCATGAATCGAACCCGCGACCCCGAGACCAATTTTTGGTAGAACAACCACTGCGCCAACGCAGCAGATCTGTTTAAACAGAAATTTCTCTTTCTTTTATGATATCTTCTCCCGCTTCTTGTTTCCCTTTTCTTTTTTCCTTTTTCGTTTTCCTTTTTTCCTTTTCTGTTTTCTGTTTTTTTCATCCTGGTTCGTCCAATTTGTTTGCAAATACATGAACTTTTCTTTTAAATTGATGATTTCTTTCGAAATTCGATGAACTTTTTCTCAAATTGATGAACTATTTTTTAAATTCAGTGAACTTTTTTGAAAATCTATGATCTTTTTTAAAAATTGGTGAACTTTTTTCAAATCTGATGAACTTTTTTCCAATTTTGATGAACTTTTTTCAAAATCGTTGACTTTTCCAAATTGGGTGAACTTTTTTTTAAATTTGATGAACTTTTATCAAAATTGATGAACTTTTTCTCAAAATTGATGAACTTTTTTCTCAAATCGAATGAACTTTTTCCAAAATCGATGAACTTTTTTCAAATCGACTGAACTTTTTCCAAAATCGATGAACTTTTTTCAAAATCGATGAACTATTTTTGAATATTGATGAACTTTTTTCAAAATCAATGAACTATTTTTGAAGATTGATGAACTTTTTCTTTTTTTATGAGTTTTTTGTTTTAAATTCGTTATCTTTTGTTTTAACCCGTGAACGATTTTTTTTTAATTCCTGATTTTTCAGAAAAGATACACATATTTTTTGAACATTCAATGGTTAACTGGTCAGACCGATCAATTGGTGAACTTTTTTTTCCTCAAATTAGTGAACTTGTTCTAATTCAAATAGCGCAGCTAGAGTTCTTAAACAGTGCGCGCTGCATTTGGTCACTAGAAGTTGGGTGGTGTAGTGGTAGCCAGTCTATTGGTGGTTAGTTGCGGGCTGAGTTCGATTCCCCACGATGCCCTGTTTTTGGTGGTATTTTTGCGCTACAGTATTGCAGTACGTGTTTATGGGCCAGCCCACTAAGATTCTCCTATGAGCGCCGGTTAGGTTCGCGGGCGCTTAAGGCGCCGACTAGGACCTCCCCGCTTCATCTCAAAAAACAAAAGAAATGTACGCTCGCTTGGGCTGGGCTCCTGGAAACAGGTCTAAATATAAAGAGAGAAGTACTTCGGTACAACAACAACCCCCCCCCCCAGGGCCGGCCGCCCGTGTACGTCCCGCCCCGTACGCATACCGTGAGGTTCGGTAGTGCGATCGGGAAAGGGGAAAAAACGACGCCCCACCCCGACACCCCATCTCCGCGTACGAAACCCTAGCGACATCAACGCCGCCGTGGTCCACCGCCGTCGCGACGTCGGGCGGCGTCCGTAGTCACCCACGCGTCGTGTCACCGGTGTCGCGTGAAACCGACACCCCTTCCCCGCCTAGGAAACCCTAGCGGCATCAACGCCGTCGTGGTCCACCGCCGTCACGACGTCGACCCCGACGTGCCCGTCTAGTCGCGAGCACCGACGGCGTCCGTAGTCACCCACACGCCGTGTCGCCGGTGAAACACCCAGCGCTCCTGTCAATGTTCTGTCCTGGTACGCGCCCTCCACGACGTGGGTGGCAGCAACACATCAGCGTCGACCCCAGGCGAGGACCCCTCGACGGCGCACAGTAGGTTCTCTGGCTCTTTTTTTCTTTTTGATTTGTCCATTGCATTTTTTATGCAAAATGATTCCCTAATTAGCTAAATAAGAGAGGAGAGTAGTGACCTCTTAATGACCTCATAATGATTTTGTATGTTCAAATTTGTATGCATGCCACATAGTCATGTCACTGTTGACGAATTTACTGTATTCGCGATAATGTTGTGGAATGTTGGCATTGATCTCACACCTTATTTGTATGTGCATAGATGAGCAAGTGACCGGATACGCCAGTGATGATTTCGGTAGCGATAATGGATCCTCGTCATTGAATGCGAACCAACCTCCCGGAGACAACTATATAAGTCAGGATGAATCGTACAATGGTAATGTAAGTGCCTTCAATGTTGACCAAAACATATTGAATACAAACTAGTTATTTGACACTTACATGTCCTTTTAAATTTGTACAGCTACATGGCAATGATGACGATGAGGAATATGATATAGATGAAAAAATTTATGCAGATAGTGTGAGCCAGGTATGTTGAAAAAATTGTAGAGAAACGATTGACATTAAAATTGTATGACCACTTATTTTACTTTACATGTGCACAGATAAATGCTAATGGTGACAATGAGCATAATAATATAGATGATGACAATGCCGAGAGCGAGGTCGATGCATCTCATAGTGGGAGCGGTAGCCAAGTAAGTTCTTTACATTATTTATGGTTAGTAACAATACAAGAACAGATTGACATGCAAGGTTATATGTCATATTTTGCAGGGAGGTGTTGATGGTCCTAGCGGGAACGATGAACACAGCGATGATGATCAATTTGACCTTGACATGTGCTATGATGAATATCAGTAAGAGTCACTTGATAGGCATTGGGCAGTGATGGTAAAGACATTCAGGTCATTAGATGAGGTGTACACATTCTACAACAAGCACGCGAGAGAACGTGGGTTCAACATCAAGAAGGACTCGCTAAAACGTTTGAAGGATCGCGCAAGGACTCCGTGCTTGAGGAGGTATCTCTGTTCCGCCGCAGGAAAACGACAGGCCAAGTTCTGTACCATGGAAGGTGAAAGGATCGATATAGTTGACTAGAGGGGGGTGAATAGGCAACTAACAATTTTTAGCTTTTCTTTACCAATTTAAACTTTGCATCAAAGTAGGTTGTCTAGATATGCAACTAGGTGAACAACCTATATGATGCAATGACAACAAGCACACGAACAAGCAAGGGATACAACACAAGTAAGCTTGCAAAAGTAAAGGCGCGAGATAACCAAGAATGGAGCCGATGGAGACGAGGATGTGTTACCGAAGTTCCTTCCTTTTGAGGGGAAGTACGTCTCCGTTGGAGCGGTGTGGAGGCACAATGCTCCCCAAGAAGCCACTAGGGCCACCGTATTCTCCTCACGCCCTCACACAATGCGAGATGCCATGATTCCACTATTGGTGCCCTTGAAGGCGGCGACCGAACCTTTACAAATGAGGTTGGGGCAATCTCCACAACTTAATTGGAGGCTCCCAACAACACCACGAAGCTTCACCACAATGGAGTATGGCTCCGAGGTGACCTCAACCGTCTAGGGTGCTCAAACACCCAAGAGTAACAAGATCCGCTAAGGATTAGTGGGGGAATCAAATTTCTCTTGGTGGAAGTGTAGATCAGGGCCTTCTCAACCAATCTCGAGCAAATCAACAAGTTTGATTGGCTAGGGAGAGAGATCGGGCGAAAATAGAGCTTGGAGCAAAAATGGAGCTTTTGGGGAAAGAAATAGGT